CGACTTTCGATAGAAACCGACCAATCAACGTGACTTCTCACTCCCGACTGATCGAAACATCATGTTCCAAACGTGAAAAAGATCGAAACTATGGATGGATGGAATCACAATTGTCTTGTTCATTTATGCTTGGTCTAGAAAGTGTGATCGATGTCGATGGAACCATTTTGGCGAAACTTCAATTCTATTGATCGAATTTAGATTTGGAATTACTGAATTCAAATATCTGAATCTCTAAGTTGGCAATTGATTTATCACTAGACTTTGCGATTGTGTGAATAACATGATTAATCAAAATAATTATTTTTCGGCTATACTATTAAATATAAATATATTCAATTCTAAAATTATCAACTTCGTTCGTAATTCGATATAGCCAATCATTTTGATAACTAAATTTTCTAGTTACGAAGATTTCGTCCTAGTTTTCAAGTAAGAGAAATTTAACATTAACCTTTATACAAAGATTAATATTTTTCCTGAGAAAAATTCACAAGTATTGTAAAGAAATTTTATGAATAATAATGGTTCTCTAATAAATAAATAAATATTAAATAATATACTTAATATACCGCTCGATCTAAATATAAGAAAACCTCTGCCAGTCCAAACGATCGATGCGCTAGATTCACGGAAACGTGCCTTGCCGATACTGTTACATTATTTTTGCACAGTTTGACCGATCATTGTATAGTAAAAACTCGATCTTGATCGCGGATAAATAGAAAGAAGAAGTCGATGGGAAAGATGAGATCGACTAACTTGTTTGACGTAATAGTGCATCCCGCGTTTTCAGCCCCGGATAGAAAGTTTCTCGTCATAATATCGCTGGCAGATCTCCAATATTGCGAAAGATCTATGGAAATAGCAATTCTCTGCTTCTTTCGATCGTGCGGTAAACCTTAATTGCAATAATGTTGGAAATGAATTCGTAATTATTCTAAAAATAGATATATCTGACGATTCTTCCAATATCATCAATATATCATAGGTATATTGTAATTCAGAATTTATTTTATATAAAATTTTATTATCTCCTAATACACTAAAAACAAATTGAGATACACTGATTGAAAAAAAATAATAATAAGTATATGAATATTTTCATAGATTTTTGAAAAAATAGTTTATAATATTTTATTTGAACTATTTTATAGTTATTCAGAATTGAAACATGTGCACGACAATATTAAAGATAGATTATTATTAGCGTTTATTTTGTATCATACATAGATCATTATAGTTTGAATCTTATAAATAATCAGAGTCCGGAAAATTCAATATGAATATAATCTTAATAATAATAGTAATACAAAGTTCATTACGTCAAGATGGATAAAATGGAGGACATACGTCATTGAGGAGAAAGTAACGCGAACGTCTGAGTGAGGTCGATACGAATCGTAATTACAAAACTCAACAAGAAACGTATCATGGAAATATTCGTGAAAGATTCCATAGACTCTTAATCAAACTTTTCGATTCGATAAGCATTAATATTTTCCAAAGATAAATTTGATTAAAATATAAAAATAAGTACATCTGTTCAGTAAATTGGTTATGATCTATTGTCTATAACTGACGTCTAGTCTAACAATAACGATTCCGATCTTGACGTTCAAGTTCATGAACAATATCTGTACTATTTTATTCCCGTTAGGCGAATCTTTTCCTGTTACACTATTTTTCCATTAAACCCGTTGAATTTCGTTCCAGAAGATAGATCACTTAATGAAAAATATATCTCGAATTTCCAGGTGCTGTTGAAGAAATACTAGGAGTTGAACCGCTTCGTAACGAAACGAGAAACCAGACAAATGAACGCAAATCGGAATCAAAAACCACGATCGAGCCAAAGAAAAAACCGATCGATTTCAAGGTCAAGACTGAGCAAAAATATCAAAAAACATTCAAGGACGATGATTCGAAGCGCAGCGAAAGCAATGGCATAATGACCACCACGACAATGGCAGTCGAAGACGCAACCACGAGATCAATGGAAATTTTAGGAGTCACGATACCTTTTCTATTTCACGGCGAGCCTATCATGACAAATTCCACGATGTCGATGAAAAATCGACAAATGTCATTGATAAATAATGATTCCTCATCGACATTGGAAAATATCACGGAGAATGTTCGCGTGACGGAAGAGACATCATTCAGAGGAAGAGCATTGAACATATCGGCACCAGAACCGACTAATTCTTTGCATCCAAATATTACCGATTTGAGCGATGTCAGCATGGACGATGACGATAAGGAAGTCGAAGGTGATTATTATACAAAGTATTAATATATTGAAACACTTTTGGAAAATCAATTCTAAAATAATAAACAAGAACAAGAAACAAGAAATGATTGAACCGAAAATTTCGTTTTATCTAATGCAAATTTAAATTAAATAAATAAATCTAAACCAAGATTTTTGTATTTGTATCTGAAGAATCGATTCTCAAAAAAGTCTTATAAATATATTAATATCTTATATAATTCGTATTATCGTTTGACGAAAAAGAAATAAATTTTAATATTTTAATATTTTAATGTTTTAATATAGGTGGCGAATACGTGGCATCTCATAACGAAACAGTTGTAAATATTTCTTCGACTCTATTACCAACAGTGGATGTATGCGTGGAAGGAAACCGAACATACACCATTGGAGAAAAAATTGTCAGGAATTGCGAAGAAAAATGCATATGCGGTGACAATGGCGTGGCCATAAATTGCAAACCTCTTTGTTCCTCGCCATATATCCGAGCCAATCGAGGAATCGAAGATCCCTTGTGTCAGGAAAAACTTGTCAAGGAGGAACCGTGCTGCGCTATTTTGGTTTGTGCTGCTGATTCGGGTAAGTTAAAATTTATCAATGTGAGAATATGATAAAGAAATTTTTTTTTGAATTTTATTTTCTTTAGCACCTGAACCGGAAGAGACTTGCGTTTTTGGAAATAAAACGATAATGAGGGGTCAACGAGTCGAGGATGGTTGTTCCAAGGTTTGCATATGTGAAGCAGGAGGAAATTTGAAGTGTCAACAAAGGTGTCCACCAAACGACACAATCTCAGCAACGAATCAACACGATCGCTGCGTCGTACTCTCCGATCCAAGGTACAAAAAAATCTTCTAATTTCTCCAGATTCCAAAATTATTTCTTCGCTCGCTTACAGCTTCTTCTTCTTTGTTTTAGAGATTCGTGTTGCACGATCACACTTTGCGACGTTACTTTGGGCGATCATGAGATCAAACCGGAAACTTCGACTGATTTAGCCGTGAATCTTACAGATGTAAAAGTGTTAAACTCAACGGCGATCAAGCTGAAATTGTCGACTAAGAATCCGCAAGATGTGACCGTAGAAATATCCGATGACAATCACGTATGGAGACAGCAAAAGCCTGACAAAGGTGAGAATTAGATTTAAGAGTGTAAATATATTCTTTTAAGAAAATTTCTTATGAATGATAATTGAATACAGAGGGTATCATATCGAATCTGGATCCTGCGCATTCGTATTACGTGCGAGTGACGGATGGAACTCGAACGGGTCCAGCGCTACAGGTCTTTCTTCCCGCAGAGGTAATCAAGACGAATATCTCAGACAAGATGACGGATAAAAGCTCTTGCAGCCATATGGGAAAAACATACAAAATAGGAGCAGAATGGTACGACGAGTGTATCTCTTTCTGCACTTGCGTCGAGGGTGGTAAAACCGAATGTCTGACGATCGAATGTCCTACGGATTTTGGTCTTGATGCTCTCGATCCTCATTGTTTGGACTGGGAAACCGTACCTCCAAATTTCGTTCCGAAACCTCCTCATTGCTGTCCCCAGGTACAGAACTCAGCTCGTTAGAAATAGGTCTTCGTTTTCTTTCGTTGAAGATCTAAAAGAAATTAAAAAGATGTAATATTATAAATTTTCTTTCATAAATTATATTCACAAATGTAAAAGATTTTCAAATATCCAACTTTTGAATATTGCTATTAATATATATATTTTGATATAATTGTTTTTTGTATGTAAAATAGATACTTGCCATCGAGAATTCTCTTCGATTTTTAATGTTGTATCGAATGTATTAATTTTGGACAAAAGTACACAAGTCAATAGCTTGCAAACTGCTTTCTCAATCTTGCGTAGATACAAGATCGATAATACAAAGTCTAATAATATTACTGATCACGGTCGCAGGAAGTGCGATGCAGAAATAATGGCTCGTGCGATTACGAGGGTAACACATACGACAATTGGAGCGAACTACCCTTGAACGTAACCGGATGCGAGAAACGATGTTATTGCGAGATGGGGAACGTGTCCTGTCAAACAGCTTGTCCACCAGTTCCTGCTCTACCACCTGCAAATTTACCTTGCCCGCCTAATCAGGCCGCATTGATGCATCTACCGGGTGACGAATGTTGCTTGGAATGGAATTGCAGACATTCGATCAATCAATTGCCAGGTAAGCTCCTGTAATAGAGAACGTGAAAATAGCGTAAAGAACGTAGTGTGGATAAAATGACTATTTCATTAATAACCGGAGAATTGATCCATTTAAACAAATTTATTCAATGAACTTCTCTAGAAGTGTACAGGCTGTGTTTGAAAATCAAAGTTATTAAATAGGTAAAAAAAATATTTGACATATGATAATCGAAGATGGAACCAGCCTGTACATCTGTCTAGTATGATTTTGAGAAATATCAGTAGAAATTTGATTATTGTACATGATTATCGAGATCATTGAATTGATTCTTTGGTGGCGGTCGTATCAA